TGTACGTCCTATGTTCATGGCATTCTCTACAACCTGCTGATTGTCCCATGATACAGAATCTTCTTGTGAACCACTTTTTAGATGCTCGCAATATGGCAAAAATCCTTCGGCATTACGAAGGATTGACCGGAATGGATGGTTGGTACGATTGATCAGGAATGGTCGGACTTTGCGACTTGTATGTTGTATGACGATCTTGGAATTTGCTGACGTTTTGTAACTTGTTGCCATTTGTTATTGCTATCTATTTTTTGCTCTACATTTTTGATACACCTGTGTAGCTATGTAATTCGTCCTCTCATTGTTAATTCAACTGGTTTTGCTCGTTCGAATTGTAGAAGCCGTTCGTAGTATTAAGTTTCAATGGGATGACAGATAATCTTCAAAGGAAATACATGCTTTGGCTTATGTTTTCGTTTGCTGGCTTGAATGCCTTCTTCCAAAGGGATAAGTCGAAAGCCGTATGACCGCTAGACATCGACGCGCTCTCGTCAAAATTTAAGTATTCGTCGGGAGAGATATGGAAAGCTCCTCGGGCGCAGACCAGCTGTATCCATGCGTATTTATGAATCAGTATGACTGAAAATAAGTGAATAAAAGACGGAGGCTTACGTCTGCATCTGCAAAGCATATATATAGATAGATACGCGCACGGATTTTTGATTAGAGACACGAGGAAACGTCCGAATCTGCGCTTTGAAGGGCTTACAGTAGACAGGAGCGGGAATTGAGACAGAGCGCGCCGCTTTAGCGTAAACATGACATAAAGAATATGACAGGTCTTGAATCCTGATGAATAGGATAAGTAAGCCCTCAGAACTTCCAAGGAGGTAGAGCCGAAAGATGTACTTGGACAGGTCAAAGTCGAAGATCTCGTCTTCAAGGACTACGTAATGACTTGAGCGACAAGCTAGTAGAATGGTTTTAAGCTCGCCAACCATTTCAAGAAAAACTTTGCTTACTGCCTTGGATTGCGGCGTGACTCTGCAAATAGAAATTACGATAAGTTGGATGCGTGATACCGCTGTCAATAACACTGCCAGGGGGGCAATTGTCTGTCCTAAATAGAGTTTATTTTGTGACACCGCGTGCGGAAAGCTCTCGACTTACTTTGAATTTGTCGAAAAAAACAATACATGATGGCTAAACACATTAAACACAAGATATCAGTCACGTATAAAAAAAACTCATTAGAACACAAAGAACCCACCGCTTTGTAACAATAATGAAGGTGAGCTTTGGTAAAGGTTCCTGTTGCCTATATATTTTACGGTTTTGAAAGGCAGCTAAATTGAATATAAATTTTATAAGGAATAGAACACTCTGAATGCACAGACAAACACACCTTTGATCTCCGCGATCTCCCTTTGAGCGACAGCCTCGTATTCTCCCTCGGATACACCGTCCCGGAACACAACTACATTGGCTGGATACATGTAGGAATTCATGCGGGCGAAGTTTGACAGCGCCTTTTCAGTGAAGACCCTGAGATCCTCTACAATTTCCGTTCGAGGATTCTGGATAGCAGTAAGGGCAACATATTTTGTGGCATATCGATCGGTCGAATATACAAGGCTCGTAATTGATGGCTTTTGAACACCTGGCCCGGGATGTCCGACATCTATACCTGCGAACAGTGGCATGAGAGGGATAATCTGATAGAAAAGCGTGAAGGCTTACCCATAATCATATACGGTACGCGTTGCAGCATATTGATGACCCGCGATATTGGAGCCACGTTAATGCCTCCGAGACGTGCATTCAACCTGATTGATACGAAAATGAGCCATATCCTGCTTTAATAACTAATCAAAAGCTCACTTCAAAGCAACATTATCCCAGTAATAGTGCCCATTAAGTCGCTTTAGCTTACTTTCGCTCAGGCATTGAGTCTTAATTCCTTTAGAAAATACGTAAGTAAGACAAGATGTTCACCGCGACATATCTGGACACACACATACCATGCTTGACATCTCCCCAATGCTTGACTGCAGTCCGAATATTGGCACCGCTTGATGGCAAGAGGATTACCAGTATTGTGTTGTTTATCATTTCTTTTGCTCCTCTTGCGAATAACTTCCTCTTGATTTCTGCTATTGCATGATCGAGGTCCTGTATAAGCATGCATCAGCAAATATTACAATACATATATGTGACCGAAACCGCTGACCTTTTCTACGCTGTAGCCATTTGCAGAGAAAATACTATACTCGAAATTCTTTGAATTCGTATGTATTCCTGAAAATTTACGACATGATTCATAGAATTCAGCGAAAGAATGAAAAACATACTCATTCCTGAATACGAGATTAGCGGAAACCGAGAACTGAAGACAATAGCACACACCAAGTCTTGTACATGATCTCCTCATGGCATCGGCGATTCCCATACACATCTCTACGTTGATGCGGGCGGGACAAAAATTGACAATGCCCCAAGATTCAAGACTTGCCGGTTTGTAGAATGTCCTGTACACATCCTTTCCGAGCTGCTCGTTCAAGTTCCATGCCCCGTTGTTGACTCTCTGCAAATAAGTCATTCATGGTTCGCCTCAAGCTTAAGAATTATTGCGGAAGGGACCTTACCACTCTATCTCTCGGTCCATACTGGACCATCTGTGCAGGAAGAATTTTTCCATCTATCTGGATTGGGCGGGCATCTAGGCTCATGCCAGACTCGGAAAGATACACGTTCTGAGAATATTCACTGGCCTATAAAGATCAGAACGCTCAGTATATAGAGCGTGTAAAGATACAAAAAAAGCATACTGCGCCAGTTATTTGTTCCAGACGGACTTGTGGCTTCAGGGTCGAAAATCTGACCATTTCCGAAGTAAACTCCTCGGGAATCTTTTGGCGAAAAAGTTGTCCTCTTTCGACGACGCACAATTCAGCTGGAACAATGTCCTGAAATGCTGAATTTTTGCCCGTGAGTCGGACGCCAATGATGTCAGGATGTTGAAGGTATATGCCATGTGTTGTGGCGAAATATTGCTATGTAGAGGATGAGTTAAACTCCGAGAAGGCTTTGATAAGGACCATACGTTCACCGTAGTCGTACCCCGACCCTCTATCTGAAAGGCGAACCTTCCGGCGTTCGCTTTGAGACCTCGTATAGTCTTAATGCGCGATTTACTTCCACCGGCGCCTGTTATGACTTTGATATGCAGTCGCTTTAGGAATTTCTCCAATCTCTTAAAATCAATGCTGCTTTCGGACAACGCGAGAAAGCGAACATTGTTTTTTTGCAAAAAATTAAGAGCGACGTCGATAAGCGGACCAGATTGGTAACTGTTGAACATGCCAGTGCGATGGTATTAGCGAAGAGTCAGTGAAGACGAAGGCGAGACCATTACACAGCTGCCGTTGAGGTATCGATTGTAAGGACCATTTTATCGATGGTGGGGCGTACTGATCTATATTTTTAATAGGCTCGGTAAGAAAAGGTACGTATATGCGTTCGATATGCATACTGTAACCAAAGACTCACGAGAATATTCCATGCCACAGTTCAATACCATACTTAAGGGGTTTCCTGTCCTTTCCGGTGAAATAAGAGCGGCCATTGTTTGTGTGGTACCTAAATCAACGTCAAATTCAATCAATATCTGGAAGCAATATTCAGGTGAAAACCCACTGATTGGTACCCTGACGAATGACGAGCTGGATGAGGTTTGTAGCTGTAGCAGCGCGGGTCGAGGATTGATGCTTTACAATGAGGTCCTTAATGTGACTGTCGTACATAATCGAGCATGTCAGATTAGATTAAACAAGCTAGAGATGATTATGCGTACCTTGGATCAATTGGAGGGCTGCTGGTGAGGTTTAGCGTTATACGGTAGGATCCCCTGATACCAGCAGCGGTTTGAACTCCACTACCTAAGCTAACATTGAACTGAGACAACAAGTTGAGCGTCCACATGAGCGTAGAGGATGAAATGATATTTTTGACTTACTGTGATACCGCTGTTGCCCCCCAAGTTGAGCAATCCAGGGGAATATGCGATTGCCGCCCCATCGTACACTAGGCGAGGGTTGAAGAGATGCGGGGCAACTCTGACTTGTAAGTGCGTGAAAAGCTCATTCCTTTTTGCCTTCTCGCGTTTATCGAGTTCAGGATGGAACACTGGTGACTTGTCAGGATAAAGCATAGAACCCGAGATCCAGAGGACTCACCAACTAGGCGGATTGCATTGGATACTTGCGTCAACGAACCCATAGTTTTGAAGCAGAGTAGAGTTAGGGCATACCGTCATACATATAGTACCGCCTGGTAGGAAGTTTGGTTATTATAAACGAGTTTGAGAGAAACCGAGCTGCTATGGCAGGCAGGTTCTGATTCGGTTCTGCCATGATAAAATGTGGGATCAAAGGACGAGGATGAGCAGTCGTCGATCGTTCATTGTAAACCCAGTACGTGCGCATTGACCATGTCATCAAAATTTCGACGTGGGCGTGTCTTCGAGAGAAACAATGACAACAAGAAACTTCACCGCAAATTCAGCCTAAAAAGCATCCAAATAACATTTATTCGCCCTATAACGGAAGTTTCTAAGGTTCTACGAGTCAAACACACAAGACCAAAAGCGGGAGCGAGCTAACAGCTGGTGTATAGATTTCCGGATTTGAACGATCACAATTGCAAGCCAGTCTGAAGACAGGGAACAGCAACACAGAAAGACCATAATAGACCGAGTATTGAGCCATTCGCCCACACCGAGTTATAAGAGCTGAAGAAGAGTAGGATTCTATGGTAGCCACTCAGGTTGACTACGGTTTGACAGACAGAACTTGGACAGAACTTCTGCTGGCGGAGAACCCAGTATTTGTCATCGGCGACGGGCCGTCGATAGCACCGTGTTAATCTCATCGCCCTCTTCCCTCCTTACAGACCGTCCGACGTGTTATCTTCCAGTTCTTATATTGTTCTAACTTCTCACAGATATTCAGTGCACCGTAGCGGACTCCTTTGTTCCACACTGAATAAAATAAAATAAAAAGAACCGACGGTGGGGATCGAACCCACAACCTTTGCCTTACGAATTAACGTAGGAAAGCAACGCACTACCATTGTGCTACGACGGCGTTACCTTTCTTTAACTTTGTAAGCAGTGTCAGGTGATTTTTAATCTTGCAGGTCTTTCGGTGCCGTTCCTTTACGCGAACTTTGAGTTGACTCGAACTTGACTCATGTGCAGAAAGATCTTCCTATCTATTACATAGTATACTATATGACGGCATTTCAGACCATCCGCTGTGAGGAAACATGCGAATTCGAAGCCTTGGTCATCAGATTTGTATCATTGACTTCCCATATAAAATCCTCCATGGAGTGAAGCACTCTTGCTCTCACAAGATATTACTATTTCCCAAAAACCCGATGGCGAGTACAACCGAGATACTTGGAGGCCTAACGGCCGGTAGTATGTTTAACCTGCAGGGTGTAGTGGCAGTGGTGACTGGAGGCGGCACGGTCCGTATATTAGCTTCTCCCATTCTCGTCGTTCATATTTGACTCTATGTCCTTTAGGGAATTGGTCTCATGATATCCTCTACAATTGTAGCTAACGGAGGGAAGGTGTATATTGTTGGTCCCCAGCAAAAGGAATTGGACAGGTTTGTGGTTCTGCGCATCCGCTTTCAACGCGAGCCGCTGATGATGCATCATGAAGAATTGCAGAAATATACAATCAAGGTACAACGACGGGGATGGGGAGCATGCATGGTGTAGAAGCCGATATACGGCAGAAAGTAAGCATGTTTTGGTACCGGTCTTTAAAATGAAATTTTATACTGATTCAACGAATAGTCTGAAGCCACGCGGGTTGCCGCCCTTATAAACGCTCGTGAGCCACACGGCATCACCGTCCTCTTCAACAACGCCGGAATACTCAAAGGCCAATTCACGCGCCCCGAATTCTCGCCCTCCGATCCTCCCAATGCGCAGGCTTTCGTGGACGCATTATTTGATCCAGTCTCGCAGGAAGACTTCAATGACGTCTTCAACACCAACGCGGTCGGTCCTTATTGGTTCACCTTCGCATTTCTTCCTCTATTAGAAAAATGGAAGTCCAGTCCGGGAGGCAAGAAATTTGTCCCGCAAGTTATCATGACGAGCAGCATGAATGGGTGGACAAAGGTATTGTAAAGAAAATCTCTCTATTAGCTACTGAATCTATTGATGGGGTGTGCTAAACAGAAGCTTCTAGGATGCAGCAACCAGCGGCTTCACGTTCCCGTATCTCTTCTCAAAGAGTGCGATAGGACATGCGACGTCAACCCTAGCGCACGAGTTACTTCCTCTCGGTATAAGAGTTAATGGTATTGCTCCAGGTGAGTTAATGATTTATCGTTCGAGCACTTTCAGTGACATTTGCGCACCCTTCTCAGGCCTCTTTCCGTCCGAGGTATGCATTCCGACAATATAAATCAAACGTCTAACATATACTAATCGATAAATCGATAGATGTCTAATCCAGGAAGCATAGACGACAAAGGCATAAACACAATCGCCCCAGAGACGAAAATCGTCTTCGAAGTGCCCGCCAATCACGCTGGCGGAACGCGTCATGACATGGGGGCTCTCGTGTTATTCTTGGTGGCCAACTGGTTTGTCAACGGCGAGACAGTGTTAATCGATGGCGGTGTAAGTCTTTTGACTTCTGAAGCTATCGTGATCGCTTTAATGACAAATGGTTACTGCATTAGACCTTGTTGAAGCATCCGTCCTCCTACTAAAACTGTTCACTGTTGGGAAGGTCCAGGGTGGGAGAGGCGTGGCTAGGATTTTCTATCAGCATAGCTTGTAGAGATAAAAATCGCTCATGTTGCTCGAGATCAATATTCCACCCCTAAGGAGTTCAAAATCTCTTTCACAATTACTCCCAGTTCGTAAAACACCAAATATAGGAAAAACTGCCTAATATGGACGCTCAATTCTAACTGCGAAATCCAAGCTGCGCGAATCACAAAAAACCATTACTACTCACTCTATGCAGGCCTATTCAAATAAAATTACAAGTCAAAGTCAGATAATCACTACACACACACATACATTCTACCAACCGAAACGAATCAAGTATCTACACTCCGAATCTAAGCATCATCACCACCACACTGTACTTTACAACGTCAATCAGGCAAGCCTAAGGGAGGGCGGAGAATTAACTACATAATAATCCAGAGGCCCAAAGGCATCGATCGTCATCCGTCATCATCCAAGGCATATGTACTGCTGTATTATTCAAATCAATAGAAAGAGATTGAGAGAGAAAGGGATGATGTGGAGAAAGAGAGAGAGGGTGGGTTGGCGTACACGACAACACACACAGGACATGTACTATGTAATAAGCAAGCAAAAAAACGATGGATGTGGGAGGTGACATATATGGGAGGTATATAATGCAGACATGAACGAAAAGGAACGAGGGGACGGCGGGAGAGCAATCATGGGTGGGCAATGATGGGATACAGGCAGTAAGATGAATCCAGGCGTATAGAGACAAAAAAAAAAGAGAGAAGAGGGAAAGGGATGCGACTGCACATACGTATTAAGGCATAGCGTATAAAAGAGGATTACTCCGAACGCAAACAGAAAATAAAGCAAGGGAGCTGGGCAGCAATACTGGCGGCATACGGACCGTGTCCCGAAGCAATCATAGCGCCTTCTCAACCAACAAGGCGAGGAGATAGAGGTACACCAAAGCGCCATGCCAGCGTTGATGTTCCGACGCAGCGCCCAATGAAATAAGAACTCAAAGCGTAGAACTCACTTCGCTGCTCCATACTCTCCACCACCGCACCGGCTTCGTCAGCTAGGCTACAATGATAGCCTAACTTAAGCCTCCAGATGCGCAGCGACATCAACACCCTCTATGCAATACGAAGTGTCCTCCTGCAGCTCCTCATCCACAGCTGCCAAACCTTCCTGCGTTAGCGCTGCATATCCATCATCTAGTTCCTTCTCAAAATATCTCGGAACGAATCTTGAAAAACACACAAAAAATCAACAACCCCAGATCGATATCAAAAAGAGAAGAATGTTTGAACACTCACTCAATCCCTTTCCGCTTTCTCTCCGCCGCTTCCTCCCTTTGCCTCTGCTCGATATTCACCTTCTCCTTCGTCGCCTCCGAAAATTCCTTCTTCGTAAGATTATCCGTGACCGTCTCCCACAACTTTCTGCTCTCCCGCGGGTGTTGCTTCTCAAGTGGACGCACCGTCTTCGGCATCACACCGAGGACCGACAAATCGATGAGAGTCATCCACTCCCCGTCAGACGCGCCAAAGTCCGCCTTCGAATAAGACGCCTCCCGAATGCTTGGTGTAGGGAGCTGTGTGTGCGATGGGCTTGGGGACGATGAGGTCGAGCGCGTGACGCCGTTGTGGTCGATGGGCGGGTACGACCCCGTTCCGACGCGTTTCCAGCGCATATGTCCGCGCCAGGTGCCGTCGAAGACAGCGACGACGCGGTCCTTGGGTACATGCTTGACCTTGGTCCACTCCGCGCAGTGATTGGCGTCCGAATCGAATACCGTATGGATGATACCCTCGACGAGGAAATGAGCGCGGCCCAGCCACGACTGTAGACCATTATTAAAGCTAGTTTCCCCGATCGTGATCGCGACGCACCTCTTCCTTGTACTCTATGATCGTCCTAAACTTGTGGCCTGGTTTGCCGCCTTCACATGTGATGATCGTAGACTCGCCGACAGTGACGTAGAAGCTGCCCCGCAGGATCCCATTGACAGACGCAATGGGATGTGTAATATGGTACCGCTCACCCTCGCCCGGCCCCCCTGTGATATTAATAAATATGCCCTGATTGAACTGCCCCGGCGACACACGTAGCGTCGTGCCAGACACTTTGGCTGAAATTTGGTCGATGCCTGACATATTGAGCGAGCGCGACGGGCAGGAGGCGAAGTACGCTGACACAGGCGGGTGGTGGGATACCTGTTCTGTGAGATAGATGACCCGAACCGACCCTGGCTTGGTCTGCTCGTCGTCAAGCGAGGTCGCCGCGGTGGAGATGCTCTTTCGTTTCGTTGAACTAAGCGTGCTCTTTGAGCTCTTCCCGCTCTTGATGCTCGCGGATTCGGAGGCATATGTGGTGGTGGTGTCGTCATCGATCTGGAACACTGCAGGGGTGATGTCCCAGTGCGCCCTGAAGTGCTCGCCGAGGACGGAGTTGTATGGTTTGCAGACCTTGCCGTGCTGCAGGCGCCCTTGAGTGTCAGTGCGATAGACAAAGGCAATGGAGACACGCAACTACAAATTTCAGGTCTTTCGTGAAGGTAAAGCGGACAGTGGAGAGCATGCGGATGAAGGGATCATCAGACTCGTTGATACTATCAGATCGGACTGTTATTAGCGTCCCCAGAGCGGCGCATAGGAGACATACGCTGCAAAGAAGTCGGGTCGGTCGAGGTAGTTCCAGTACTCGAGATTCGGTATGGGCTCCAGCAACGAAGCTGGCAACGAGAGGCGCCTGCGAGTACGTGAGCGCTCTGCGGCGACGAGCCAGGTCAGACGTACATTGCAGCGATATCCTTCACTCCCAGACACTTCTTGACGAGCTGAACGATCATCTTTATCTTGCCGCCCTCCCCTGTGTCTCCTGAGTCGGGCACCGAAATGGGTGGGCCCGGGGCATCGTCGTCAACGTGGTGTGGGTCGTTATCATGATCTGTCGTGCTCATCTTCGTCGGTCCAAAGGAGGGCGAAAAGGAGAGGAGGTGGGGGAGTCGTGGATGATGGTGGTTTAGAATAAGACGTGACAGCACGAACGTGGATCACTCTTTCTTTATCCCGTCCACCATGTGAATTTGAACAGTCACAAAGACTCCTCTGTGCTTTCAGCTCTTTCATTCTCATCTCGGAGCCCTCTAAGGACCACGATAGTAGCAGAGCGGTCACTGTTTATCCCAGTGAACTCGGGACCATCTTTGGACTGCAAACATATTGCGCAAGCACACACCATGTCACAGGATTCCACTCGTTATACGGATGCTAATTGTAGCATCGGCGGCGATGCCTCACCCCGTCTACATGCATTCGTTCTCGGAACCGCAGCACTCTCACTT